ATAAAAACCAGGCGGTGTGGAAGCTTGTCTTTGCTTTTCTTCCAAGTGCGAAATCACTTGCAGGAGTGTCAGCTTTATTACTAATTACACACTTGCTTTATTGCTGGTGTTATAAAAACAAAACTGGAGCCTGAAAAAAATGTCAGGGGGAGACTTAATTCAAGGCAAAAATCCTGGGGTGATGTAATTATTTTTCACTTTTTTTTTTTCTTTGTTTCCTTTTTAAATTAGAATTTGTTAATGGGATTTCGAAGCTCGTTTTTGCCAGCGTGGGGTAATAAAAATTCTGTGCATGGTGGGGAGAACACAGTTGTTTCCTCAAGGTGATGCGATGCTTTGCACCTGCGAATGTCCGTGTACGGGTTGGAAAGGGCTCGGCATGGCTCATCCCGTCAGATGAGCGTGTGTGCAAGTGTGAAATTCTTTCTAATTCTTTGGAATTTGAATTTTTGGGGTGTTTTTGCAGGTTTTTCTGCTACACTCAGAGCTATTTTTTTTTTAATAAGCAAGAGCAAGGGTGTTGGATGGCTGCATGGGAATAAATCTGAATACGGGGTGGAGATGAAGGAGGAAAGCAGGGCTGGAGAGGAGATGCTCAGGGGATGCTCAAGGGTTTCTCAGGAGGATGCGCAGAGCTTGCTCAGGGGAGGCGCAGGAGATGCTCAGGGGTTGCTCGGGAGATGCTCAGGGGTTGCTCAGGGGAGGGTCAGGAGATGCTCAGGGGTTGCTCAAAGGATGCTCAGATGATGCTCAGGAAGATCAGGAGCTGCTCAGGTTGCTCAGGCAATGATCAGAGGCTGCTCAGGAGGATGCTCAGGGGTTGTTCGGAGGATGCTCAGGAGGGTCGGAGGATGCTCGGAGGATGCTCAGGAGGGTCGGAGGATGCTCGGAGGATGCTCAGGAGGGTCGGAGGATGCTCGGAGGATGCTCAGGTGATGATCAGAGGTGGCTCAGGGGGGTGGATGTTCAGGAGATGCTCAGGGACTGCTCCGCTTCTGGAGTTCTGTTTTCCCATGTAGCACAGGCTCCGCTCAGCCGCTCCCTCGGATGTTGTACAAATTTCTGACACGACTAATTATTGTTTAGAAGACGTTTTGGCGGCTTCACAAACGGATTACACATTCCCTAACTCAGCAACCTTGCTTTCCTGCCATAAACCCAGCAGTTTTGCTCGGCGCTGGATTTAGCCATTGCTCTCCTCTAGCACAGAGCGCCGGGAAAGTTGGGGAATTAAACCAGAATGAAATATCCCCCCATGCATGGAACGAGACATCCCGACCACGAGCATCCCTTGAGCAAGGGGCAAGGACATGGCACCATCCTGGCGAGGCAAAGCAGATGCTTTTTTTTGGCTCAGAAACCTCCTTTTTTCTCCCTTTCACCACGTATTGTAGAACTAATAGAATTTGCGAGCAGAAAATTTCACCGCCCTAGGACCAAGCACTTAAAAGCATCGGTAATCGTCAGCACGGCGCCGGCAAATCATCCATGGAGCTGGGGATGTTGGCGGTAAAAGTCTTTTCACGCGGTTGTTTTCAGAGGAAAACAACAACACGCCTGGGGAGAAAGGAGATGTTTCTAAGAGGGTATGAAAAGAGCTTGTTTTCTGAATCATTGGCTTGATGCTTTTTGGGGGGGGCAATGGGGGGTCCTGCCTTATTTTGGGCTCTGGTGAAGAAGAGGAGCAATATTGGGAAGGGTTTGGTGATGGGTCAGTCGCTTTCTGGCCGTTTCCATTCAGGTTTTCTCTCCCTTTCATTTTACCCTTCTGGCTTTTCAGCTTTTTTGTAATCTTTGTAATGGCACGGTCACGTCAGGGCCGTCCCACAGAGCGTTATCCCGGGCAGCGCGGCTCTTATCTGCGCGGCGCAGAGGGCTGCCGGGGCTGCCTCTTTTCATACCGGCTTTGAACGCTGCCCGTTCAGATGTGAAGAGCAAAGCCGGGAGATATCCAACCCTGGCTTTTTTTTCCCCTCCTCTGATTAAAAACCCACCCTCGTCGAGTAAGGCACTGCTTTATGAATATCTATATAATTTTTTCTTTATTTCCAGCATGCTTAGAGGACGCAAAGGACACGACAGGCAGCGTTTTGGCTTTGCAGGGCTGGGGGTCCCCTCTTTCTAGTCCCTACTGATCGCAGAAACCTCAAAGTGCCGCAATTAGGATGATTTTACACCCAAATCCATGCACAAACCCAAAGGGCTTGTCCCCCACAGCGAGGGGCAGTGATGGAGAGGGTCCCCAGCTTGATGGGGACCGAAACCGCCAGCACCGCTCCTGCGTGCCGCTAACGAAGGGCGTGGATGATTTCCTGCTCCGTGCGTGGGTAATTAGAGGCTGGAACAGATGGCGGAGGCTTAGTTGAAAGCGTCGCGACCATTAAAAGGAGCTGCCAAGCAACTGTTCACTTCGACGGGGGCTCGTTTGTGCTGGCAGGGGGCTCGCACGGCGAGGAGGAGGCACGGGAAGGCAGCCAGGGGCTTTCGGAAAGGATCCAGCAAGCCAGCGCCATGGTCCCCCCCGCTGGGGATGCCCCGCGAGGCACACGCCTGGGTTTGCCTGGAAAAGTGAGGGAGTTTTTAAGCTGGAGGTGCCTTGCCGGGAGCTCCGTGTGGGAGTTGCCCCCATCCTTCTTGCTGTGATGGGATGTTGCCAGCTGGGGAGGCAGGATGAGGCTGCCGGTGAGGCGGGATGATGCTGCCAGCCGGCAAGGTGGGATGATGTTGCCTGTGAGGTTGGATGATGCTGCCAGGCGGAGAGGTGGGATGCTGCCAGCCGGCAAGGTGGAATGATGCTGGCCGGCAAGGCGGGATGATGTTGCTGGTGAGATTGGATGATGCTGCCAACCGGCAAGGTGGGATGATGCCGGCTGGCAAGGTGGGATGATGCTGCCAGCCGGCGAGGTGGGATGATGCTGCCACCTGGCAAAGCGGCTCCTTTGCAGCCGGTGTAAGCGTTTCCACCTCCAGTGGCACCAATCCTTTTGCACATCAATTCCTCTCCTGGTTTTTTTGTATATATATATATATATTTAAGGAATCTAGATAATATATCAATCGAAGCGTGCTCTGGGTTTGCTTGGAGTTTGGGCTTTTGATGTTTTCTATCTGCCACACTTTGCTACAGCCGTTACATTGCCCAGCGGTCTGTAACGTCCAGTGCTGAGCCTTTAACAGCAGCATTTTGCAGGCGTTTAATGTCCACGCTTCGCGGGTTTTTGCTCTCGGTGGTGCCTTTACCTCCCGTACGCTTCTCCTTTCAATAATGCAATTACTTACCCTCCCGAGGAACTGTCAGTGCCAGTAAACTCCAGCTGCTAAACCGCATTACACAGCTCTCTCCTGCAGCCTTTGCAGTTATTAATAGTTTATTGATCCCCGTCGCTGGCGAAAAGCAACCCCATCCAATGCCTTGATATCCAGATGCTGACTGCTGCATCCCCCAGGAAAATGGGGTCAGGCTGGAGCGGGGAGCAAGTGGTGAGCCCTGTTTCTCCTCCCCAGCCTCCCCGAGGTTCGCATTTCAGACAACGGTCCCTACGAGTGTCACGTGGGGATTTATGACCGAGCCACGCGGGAGAAAGTGGTCCTGGCCTCCGGGAACATATTCCTCAATGTGATGGGTGAGTACAGCCCCCGGCTGGGTGGGACTGGAGGGGAAAGGGCTGCAGGGTCTCAGGTCAGCAGGGATTGGGCTCATTTTCCCATCCCCGGGGATGGGGATAAGGAGGGGGATGGAGATGGCGATGGGGACGAGGACAGGGATGAGAATGAGGACAGGGATGGGGACGGGGACAGGGATGGGGATGGAGATGAGGATGGAGACGAGGACAGGGATAGGGATGGGGACGGGAACAAAGATGGGTATAAGGATGGGGATGGAGATGGTTAGGTGTCGAGGACACCGTGCTAACGCCCCGGCTCTGCTCCCCGGCAGCTCCTCCGACGTCCATCTCGGTGCTCGCTGCCGACACACCAGCACCCTTCAGCCGCTACCAGGCGCAGAACTTCACCCTGGTGTGTGTGGTCTCCGGTGGCAAGCCCGCCCCACTGGTGAGCCCCTGGAGGGATTTATCTTTCATATAAATGAGGCAAACATTAAAAAAATATATATATTAAAATATATTATATATATGTGCCGCTTTTGGAGGCAAAATAAGGCAAATAAATAGCTGCCTGCTACCCAGATCTTGCCCTGCAGCATCTTTCCATAGGGACCTTGGGAAGGAGCTCCATCCAGTGCTACCCAAGGGGATGGGATGCTGGGGATGGCCGGGGTGGTGGCTGTCCCCACCAAGCTCACTCTCCCTTTTGTCCCCACGCAGGTGTACTTCAAGCGGGACGGGGAACCCATTGAGGCCACCCCGCTGCCAGAGCTGCCGGCCAGTGCCGGGAGCTGGGCACCCCGTAACCTCCTTCACCGCGACCTGGATGACACCAAGGTGCCGAAATCGCTGGCGGCCGACGGGGAGATGGGAGGCGGGCGACCCCTGGCCACGGCGGACCCCCCCCGGGGGCTGGCAGCCGAGCGGGGTCCTGTCACCGAAACTATCCCCGAAACAGTGGTGAGCCGGGAGTTCCCGCGATGGGTGCACGTGGCGGAGCCCATCTACTATTTCCGCCACACGCACGCGCCCGTCAGCGATGGGACGGTGGAGGCGCGGGCCACCCTCACCTGGACCCTGAACCCGCAAATCGACAACGAGGCGCTCTTCAGCTGCGAGGTGAAGCACCCGGCGCTCTCCATGCCCATGCAGTCCGAGGTGACGCTCGGTAAGCGCAGCCACCGCGGCTGGGTTGGGGGGGAGGAGGGTTTCCTGGGGTTTTTTTTTTTGCACTTCTTGCCTTTCTTTTTGCAATTTCTTTTGCATTTTTTGGTAATTTTTTTTTGCCTTTTTTTTTGCAAATTTTTTTGCAATTTTTTTTTTTGCCTTTTTTTCAAATTTTTTGCGCTTTTTTTCCCTTTTCTTTTTTTGCACTTGTTGCATTTTTGCCCTTTTGCCTGCCTTTCTTTTGGGGGTTTTCAGGCACCCACGAGCCAAAGCAGGGTGCCACATAGGGCTGCACGATAATAGGAGGTGGCGATGCCGGGTCTCCACAAAAGTAGAGGTGAGGGCAGCGGGTTTTGGGGGGGATCCATCAGGCAAGAGAAGGGGTTTGCTGTGTGTTATAGGGGAGACAGAGCATGGCGGGGCTGTGGGGAGCAGGAGGGCAAGGGCAGTTTCGGGGAAGGCGAGCTGGGGTTAGGTGCTAGCAATAGGGGTGCTTGGGAGGGGAGTCCTGGGGTCTATGGGGTGCAGAGTCCCTTGTGCATGGGGGAGGTAAGGAAAGAGGCTGTGGGGCTACTGTGCCCCAAGTCCTCATAGCCTCAGGGTGCCCCGTGAAGGGGAGCAAGGCCTGGCCCTGCAGAGGGGGGTGCTGGGCCCCCCCCCCCCCAT